GTTATTGTGGAGTTTAGAGGTCTCTCATAGCAATAAGTGGCGTATCTCAACATCCCAATCTCTCACCTCTGCAGAACACACAATTACCCTCAATATAGAACATACTAAATGGATATGAGAATATGGAAGGACAACTGGGGCAAGGAAATATCTCTGAAAAGTAACCTTTGATTTGGTGGAAAGCTAACTCTTCTTCTATATTTATTGTGGAGTTTAGAGGTCTCTCATAGCAATAAGTGGCGTATCTCAACATCCCAATCTCTCACCTCTGCAGAACACACAATTACCCTCAATATAGAACATACTAAATGGATATGAGAATATGGAAGGACAACTGGGGCAAGGAAATATCTCTGAAAAGTAACCTTTGATTTGGTGGAAAGCTAACTCTTCTTCTATATGAGTAAATACAAGTTCTCTTCCCTTCTCCCCTTCAGAAAGTTTACATGGAGAGCTCAGATATTTTCTGTAGGGCATACAGGGAAGGAGGTACTTTCTTTCACACATGGAACAGTTCTGTGAATGAAATCTAAATGTGATAAGCTAGATCCTCACTCAGCTGGTTTATCAGCATATCTCCACTGAAATCTGATATGCCATACAGACTCACCGATACCAGACTTCCATGCTGGGTACTGTAAAGAATGAGTTCTGTCAAATGGTCAGTCTCAGTACTAATCAAAGATGAAGCATCTAAGGGTGAGTCTACACAGCACCCTAAACTTGAAATAAGAGTTTTATTTCAAATGTATTTTGAAATAGCTTATTTTGAAATTTGGCATGTTTACACAGCACCAAATTTCAAAATAACATGCTATTTTGAGACATCCCTTAACCCTTGTGGAACAAGGGTTACTGGGATGCTGAAATAGTGCTCCTGTTATTTCGAAAAAGATTTCAAAATAATGGGCAGCTTGTGTAGTAACTATTTAATAGCTGTGTCATGTAGACGTACTCTAAGATCACAGACAACAAAGAGAAAATGGTGATGATCCTGCAGTCCAGTCTGCCACTCACCCTGTGCCAAGATGTGTTTCAATCTATACATCTTTTGTAGCCCAGATTTTATCACATATTACAAATTACAGTTAGAAATTTGCTCTTGAAGTCAGTGAATCTGTCCAAACACTTATATATTCCACTACCCTTCAAATCTCCAGCTACAAAAAATTGAAAGTTTTGACATACTTATAATAGAGTTTAGTACGAGACTTCAGCAAATCATTTTGTTTTATCCTTTGCATTTCAAGTTTAACATTTTTGACAAGATGATTTCCATTAACATTAATTTGCTATCAATTTTTTTTTTTAATTTTTGTTTATTTTGTCCTTAACATTATTTGGCCCTGCTTATCCCTTATCGGCTTTGGTTAATTTGTTAATCATATAGCATGGCCTAACAAGCATATACGCAGTTTAAAAAAAACACCTTTTGCAGTTCTGAAAATTGGTTAGGCTCTCAGATATATGCTCAAAGCTAAATGTGCCTTTTAAATCCCTTGACAACTTCTCTTCAGTTCTTTTAGGCCTATGTGGCAGCAATATATTTCTATCATTAACTAGATGGAATTTAGACATGGTGTGAGCAAGTCCAACACCATTAATTTAAGATAATCCAGCCCCAGACATCTTTTTGCCCAGTAGCACATATCCATTTAGAAGAAAGATCCCACTGTCTTAACCACTAGTGTCTTTTGTTCAAAGAAAGGGTTATTTGATTGAACCCTGGGAATCAAAAGATTCCTCCAGGCAGTACTGAATGCTTGATAGGGAGAATTCTTCATTGACCTAATTACCTACCACCTCTTGCAGGATGGGGGTTATTATAGTGGCTGTAAAATCCTTTCCCTCTCTGTAGCAAGTTTCTAAACTACAGTGCTAGAATCACGTGGCTGGAGCACCACAGCCACTGCAGTGTTTGTAGTGGAGACATACCCAGAGTGCTCCTAAACTCACTTGTGGGATGATGCTATCTTTTAGTGACAGCTAAACATCAGTGTTGCAGGCTGATAATAAGACAATAAAAAAGACCCCCCCCTCCAGGAAGAGACTGATGTGATTTGAGGTAATATCAATGAAGCTCTATCATTTAAACAGAGATGCCTGAGATGGAAAATAGAAAAGAAGATGCCATGGTGCTCAGATGTTAGCATATACCACAGATACATTGTGACTATATTTTGCAAACAAGAAACCAAGCGTTCCTTCCAGAAGATAATAGCACAGAGTACATTCCTTACCAGAATGGCCGGAAAGTGACATCATTGTTTGTCTTCTTTTTTTTCAAGTTCTCAGCACAATTTAACATGTTCCAGACCATCAAGGAACAGTTGGAGCAGCGAACTCGGATGTTGCAGGCCAACATTCGGTGGCAGCAGGAAGAGCTCCATAAAATACAGGAACAGCTCTGCTTGGTCCAGGATTCCAGTATACAGGTGAGTAAAGGCAGTGTAATCACAAGAGGCAAACAGAACATTCTCAGACTCTGCATTTCTCCGGGGTGAGCTGTTTTCATTTTATTTGCAGCGCTAAAGAAAATTGAACTTGAGAAAACTAATTCATCTGAGTCAGGATATCACTCTGTGAGTCTGTCAATCACAAAAATCAAGAACTGGTAATATCTGTCTGTGGAGGAGGGCTTGTCTTAGAAATGGGAAGGACTGGCCATCTTGCAGATTAGTGCTCCATATTGGAGCATTTTATCTTCTGAGACTTCAGAATGAGCAGTTCCCATTGAAGGATATTTAGGCTGTGACACTGGTATCACCACGGCTTTGATGAGGCCTTCATTTCATTAGCTTCCACTCACTTTTTGCTTCAAGTTAGACCTACTAGTCCTCAGTATCAAGTCTCTGAACAGCTCTGCCTACATCTCCTCCCTACTCTTCTGCACCCCAAACTTTGTATATGTTCCAGCCTAGCTTGTCTCTTTCACCCACTTCCAAACTTGTAACTACTTACATGCCACTTCCACAAGTTGGAAGTGTATCACAAATAACATTTGCCAAACACGTCTGAAAAACTGATGAAAAAACACCTATCCCATTAAATCTTCTATTTTTAAAGTGGACACCCCAGGTTGAGTTTGCCTTCAGACTGAAATTTCGTTGGATCTGGGACTCCTATCTTTACTTAAATGTTCTACTATACAATTACACAGTATAACTACTAGTGGAGACAGGCACAGGAGCTGCTTAAAGTGCCTCTGGGAAGTTCCCATTAAGGAAAAGGTCAGGATCTACAAGGGCTTTGGGTCACACATATTTAAGGATAGGGACTCATCTGGAGGCCCCGTTAATGGAAGCTAGATAATTGAAGGTCAGGTAGGGAACTGTTTTAATTCAGTTATCTCTGACATTCAATTCATGGTACCCCTAAAATTAGGTGCAAATGGAGGGGAATTACTATCACACAGCTCTCTATATTTGTTTGAGGAGAATATGCCATGTCGAGAACATAGACATGCCTGGTGTAAGCCTGGGGGACTTCCTTCTGTTCCCTCAAGGGAAGGAAGCCTGTAATACACCCTCCACTTTCTCCCTTCAGCTCTTTCACTGGCATTCCTTCACCCCCCCCCTTCCCCCCCCCCCCCCCATACACTCTCCTCCATGATGAATAGCAGGGAGCTCTGGGAAGAAACTAGCCCAATTTTCATTTTATATACAGGATCTTCAGAACTGGAGTGTAGAAGTCAGCCAAGAAATTCTCTCCCAGTTGGAGAGATGTGGAGCCCAGTACTCTGCATTAGTAACTGTTTCCAAGAGCCTTGTGCAATGAAAGATGAAACTAGCAGGAGGGCTCTGGTCCTTGAACAAAAGTGTTCAAAAACCCATTAAGTCTTTTCTACTGCTTTTACTGACAAATGAAAGTGTTAAGCACAGGAGCAGTAACTATAATCTCAGATATCTGAAAGGACGCAGTGCCTGCTTCAGATTTAAAAATAGTCTAGTTAATGACTAACGCACCAAGAAAAAGGCAGAAAAGATGAATCTGACCAGCATGCTAGAATTACAAATGAGAACATCCATATCCACAGATAATTTACAAGACAGTCTCTCTTGAAAGAAAATGAATTCAGCTCTCAGTGCTATGCCTTTCATCAACATCTATTTTACCAAAAAATAAAATAGTATTGATAAAAGATGCAAGCTTGAAAGGGTAAAACTTCTGGCTTTCTGCATACTAGCGAGAGTTGAGGAACAACAGTCCGAGCTTTCTCATATTTCCTGGCCAGTGTGATTCAGCCATGAAGAGAAGGAAATGAGAGGGAAGGTATGCCTCCATGTCCATTCACTCCTTGGCTGATTGACTGAGAACACTCACAAGGTGGCCAATTAAGAAAGATTTGCAAGATGCTTCTCCTGACCTCGCACTCTGCAAAAATGTTGTGTGAGACACATCATTATATGCAGTTCAGAGATGGGGTTGGTAATTTATCTGAGGTGTGTTTCTTTCCAATTTGTGAGATTTTAGGAGTTAACTTGTGCTGTGATATCACTGTCTTTAAAAGGAACTCAAAGTTAGCATAAATTAAATATGTTGTGGAAAAAAAATACTGGTACATGTTGTACCAAGTATATAATGTTTTCTTGTTTTAAAATTTAACTAGCAGATTGGAATATCCACTGCACTTACATGACCAGTGTTCTGATCCTCTGCTTGGAGGAAGTCCTTTGTCTGACGAGTAAGCACCCCAAATCCTATTAGCATCTTTTAATGAACTGTGTTTCAAAGGAAAAAGAACACTATGATCTAAATTCAGACTCCTGTGAGCAGTCACAACTCTATTATATGATCTATGTATTTAATACAAATGTTTTTAAGGTGTCATTAGCCTATAGAAAAATGGCCAGTAGGATCGTTACCTTAGCATCTATCAAAATTTCTATTAATTGCTTCTTGCTTTTAATATAGAGATTTATAACTTGACTGTAACTTTTCCTCTGAGCTAAAACTTAGCATAAAATAAGTCAAGTTGTGAGTGGATCTTTTTTTTTTATTAAAATAATATAGACATTTTAAAACTAATGTTATAATTTAATGAACATGTAATATATATTTTTAAAATTAGCTAAATATGTACTGTACTTATACGATGCAGGAAAATATACTCACACAGGAAACACAATGTATCATGTCAGCTCTATTGAAGAAAGGTGTATTGTCTTTCCAAAAAGGAACTGTGAGAGACATGGCTGTTAGGGAATTGGTAATACCACTGGTATGTTATTGGACATACCACAAAGTGTTGTGAAGCATGAGGCTGAACGGGAACTATCATTCTGATTTCACTTAAACCAAGGTAAATAATGAATAATTCCACTGAAGTTAATAGTTTTACATAAGTGTAAAATTGATGTGAAATCAGAATCTGACCCAGGAATACCTTCTGCTAAATAAGTTCAGCTATGCATTACAGCCTCTGATGTGGCTTGTGGATATCTGACTAAGCTTTACACATTACAAAGATAACTTGCAGCATTCATAAGATACTGTCTAAAGCAGTGATGGGTAACCGGCATCTTGCGGGCTGCATGTGGCTCATTGGGGTTCTGTGTGTGGTCCACAAGACATTTTACCATTGCCCATCCGCAGGGTAGTCAGATTCTGCTGGTTTCAATCTGCATCGTTTTTTTCCTAATAAGACACACAGAAAACAAGGGCATGTGAAATGAGGCGCATGCTGGTCACATACAACATTGATTATAAGAGCTGTGCACTCCCACTGCATCTGATCAAAGTGCTGCTATAGTGCAATCAGCACACAGGGCAAATTCTAGGTACGCAAGCACAGTTAGCAAAACTACCCTCTCCTGGGAGACCATCTTGCTTATGACAGTCTGGAGGCCACTTAGATGAAAAAGGGCCACTCATGTGGCCCACTCACTAGCCAAGATTGCCTATTGCTGGTTTAAAGTGATGGGGTTTTTTTCTCTGTATTAGTGTAACAGAAGAAATAGACCCTAGGGGGAAAAAAACTGTAGCTTTTGAGAAGGCACCACTTTACAGTAAAACAAATAGTACCACATTTTTAACAGAAACATTAATTAGATAACAGGTGCTCTGTTAGCTTTTTGTCCTGGTAATAAGTGCCCTTCATGAGTTGGTTAGGAGTAACACCAGGAGATAGTTATCTAACTGGAAGTTAGACCAAAGTACCATGCTCACCAGTTTATTATGGCTTGGTCTACACTTATGTTACTATGATCAAGCACATGAACTATGAACAAATCACACTCCAGATCAGCATAGCTTTGCTAATCCAAGTGTAAATGGAGCTATGTTGAGGGAAGAGTGCTGCTGTCAATATAGCTGATGATGTTGTGCGAGAAGAAGTGAGGGAGGCAATATAAGGGTGTGTCCACATTAAGTGGGGGGGGGAGGGGAGCTATTCCAGCATAAGATTGCTGACATAGGCTCCATAGAGTAGGCAAAGCCATACATGTCTTTTCAGTGACAAGCACTCATTGCAACATTGGGAGCCTGTGCCTAGCTGTGTCATCACTGAAAAGACTCAGCCAGATAGTTTTATTATGTTGAACTATCAGAGACAATATTGAAGAGTGGCTGAGGATTGAATGGGCATGGAATGATTGTCCTGTCCTTACAGGTGATCTTTCCAGAACAGAGTTAATATCCATTGAGCTGCTGCTGCTTCAAGTCCTGTGCTTTGCTCTGTGGAGAGAGGACTTCCACCTTCAGGCACCATTCGTGAACAGGGAATATTCTTTAAAAAAAGAAAATAGGCTGCACAATGTATATTCTAAAATGGGCATATGATTCACAATTAAGTATAGCACAATAGTAATTAATTTAGAAATATTATGATCTCCCATTTAGAATATGTTAGCTTATTTCAAAGAAACAGAAAAGAAAATGTTCTCTTCTCTCTTCCAGATGTTTTTACAGCAGCCAACAGTGTCCCTGAGCTTTAGCAATGTACAGCAGCCAGATTCTCAGCAGCTACAGCAGAGGTCAAGGGTCATTTCTCAGCAGCAGCTTATCCCCAGTCCTCAACCTCAAGGGCAAATTGCATCTTCCCAACCAGCAAACCAGCAAATATTAAGAGAAGCAAATGTGGTATCAAGCCAGGTAAACATATTATTTCAATACAAAGAAATTGATGTGGATAAAACCCTCCAAAATCATTACCAAATGATCACAGAAAAATGACATCAGTATTGTAAATAGAAAAATGTATGGTCTTTTTTATCTTTCCTTCTATACAAAGCTTCTTCCCACAGCTTTCAACTTTACTTTAAGATCTAGGTTTTTCTTTTAAAGATCTAAACCAGGAGCATTATGCAGCCAGCTTGTTTCTGTTTTAAAACTGAACAGGGGAGTATGTGGAAAGGAGTAGATGACCTATTTTCTTTCATTTTCCTGCAAAATTGCCAGGATGGTATCCCTGCCAGTATGGGCAACATTAGTGAGATCTTTACAACATAAAAAAGGTGCCTTCAGAGTGACATTGCAACTAGTTCACTGACACGCATAGTCAGTCAGGACTGCAAAGGCATATTGTTGATGTATGGGTCTTGCCCATAAGGAACTGAACTGAGACCAATATCATACAAGAGCAATAGACTCCAGCCCAGAGAAATTAAATGGAACTTTAATTATTAATGACTGAGAGCTGTGATTCTGTGAGTATGCTCAGCAAAGTTATCTTTCAGCCTTATTACAGAGCTTCCTCTGCATTTCCATTGTTCCTTCTTCAGCATAATCCTAGCACACATCTCAGTTTGTTAACCTACGACTGCTATTCACATGTACAACTTTACCTTCAAATCACGCAGTTGTACTTCTTAGAAATTCAGGTGGAGTGTGGAGGTGGATCCCCTAGCAGCTAAATTCTAGGGCTATTACAGGTGCACAATGGGGGCAGGGGGCAATTCCACTTTGCTCTTTCTCCAAAACCTGGTCATGAATTACTTACATTTCCTTGTCTGCTTTCACTGTCTTTCCTCAGTGCACTTGTACTCAGAACCTACTTTGCCTCAGATGTCCAATGTACCAGATCAGGACATGTCAGCCATTCACTTTTCCTGCCCAAGTAGCCCTCTCTATCCTGAAGTATATCACATGGGTGCCTCCTGTAACATACCTTAAGTTTTGCTCCTATATTCCCTGCCATATACAGGATTGATGTATGTGTGTGTGTGTTTTATTAAAAAAACAAAAACAAAACTGTTTTCTAGAGTCAGAAATCAATGAGAAGTGCACAGGCAATGCAGAATACCAGTCACTCACCCAGCAGTTTAGCTCCATAATTTAGCAATTCTGCTGTGCTCCCGCAGGCTGTGAACATGGCTCCATCTGCTGCTGTAGCACAGGATAGCAGCCAGTGTCATTCAAGTCCAGATTTCAGCCAGGACCGACAACTGAGGTAAATTGATCAATTCTTTCCTGACAAATGCTGTCTTTTATCATTCTATGGCATAATAGATGAGGATTATGAACACTAGGGAAGGTGAGGTATGTAAGCAAGTTGGGGAGCAAAAGGTACTGGAACTTGAGGTCCGCAGACCCCTGGGTATCCACAGACTGTGTAAGGGGTCTGCGAAAGGTTGCCATTACTATAGAACAGTAGTTTTCAACTGGGAGTCTGAGGATCCCTGAAGGCCTCAGACTATGTCTACAATTTCCATAGATCCACAGCTCCATTCAAAGCTTTTTAGGGGTCTGCAACTGAATAAAGGTTGAAAATCACTCTACTAGAGTGAAAATTTGTGTGCCTTGAAATTAAAAACAGGTTAAAAATCAATAGATCGCTTAGAATGAGATTGTGACTTGGAAAACATGCTCATGCAGAAGAGTAACATTAGTTCTCTTTTTTGTGTGCAAGACTGTTGCTCAGCCAACCTATTCAGCCAATGATGCCTGGTTCCTGTAATTCAAGACTTGCTTCAGAGATCAGCATGGCTGGATGCCAGGCTAAGTATGTTAGTTGTGAAAAATAAAGCACTGAAATGATTTTTGAGAGGGCATGACCTTTCAGAATGAGCTCTGTCAGTACTAATAAACATCTTTAGGGCATTATTATTCTGGTTCTCGAGTGAGAGGCTTCTAGGGTTGACCTTACCTTTCTGGTAGGTTCAGTGTCTAAAAGTACTGTTGTGAGACATAGAATGCGTTAGTGTGATTTCAGCACACCAACAATAGGGACTCTTCCTTTATTTCTCTCTCACACAGTTGGTATTTGTCCCAATGTTGATTTTCTGATCTACCAAAATGAGCAGGATTGGAAATATACTAAGCAACTGAGTTTAGCTTCAGTACTGACCCACCTTGAATTACTAGGGCATGATTCTCCTCTCACTCTGGTCAGATTTCATTGTAACTCCGTTGAGGTCAGTGGAGTTACTCCTGATTTACACAAATGCTAGAGAGGGAAGAACCAGGCCCTCAGCATTTTGGTGGTGTGTGAAAAGCTGTTTGTTAATGGAACGAATTAATTTTCATTCCTGCAAAACCAAAGGGGGAAATAGTTGTGTTCAGTTTCTCGCTCACAGTCTTATTCCTGGATCCTATACAGTAGCTCACAACTGAACCCTCTATTAATAGGAGATGTCTCAGGAAATCTAATAAACTGCAGAATATTGGGCTGATAATTCATTAGCTGGCATTCTTCCTCCCTGAGTCAGTAATTAACCAGTTCCTCAACAGATTGTTCAGGGAAATTGTAGCTATACAGCTGGAGGTGCTGTCTTTCAGATGAGGTTTGAAATTGAGGTCCCTAGCATTAAAAGGTCCAGTGGGACAATTTTAATCATAACTATGTTAGCCTTAGTACCCTGACATCTGCCTTTTCTATAGTTTATTCTTGAATTTTATAAAACAGATATTCTCAGAATCAACGACTATTTCAAAGTCTAGAACTGCAAACTTCCAGCAGCAGTTCACCAATTGTGCTGATGGGACAAGCAGTACTACATCCAGGATTTTCTGCATCACAGACTTCTCAGACATCATCTCTGCAGCCTATGCAACTCCAGCAGCATCAGCAGCATTGCTACCTTCAGGTAGGATAGAACAGAAAGGGTAATATACAGTTTGTATCTGTGGAAGAATAAACAAAGCCGTAAAGAATTTACCATCGTTAGGTGGCAGAACAAATGGGGTCTGATCATGCTCTCACCAAATACAGAGAAAAGTTTCCCATAAACTTCAGTGGGAATATGACTGTGCACATACTATGTAGATTTCTATATTAAAGATGTTAAATTTTTCAAATATCTCAGAAATTGAATAAGGACCTGAAATGTTATGTGAACCTTTCAAACACACTACAGTAAAACTCTAATTGTCTGGCATCCAGTGATCCGGCACCAACTGGAACCCGGAAGTGCTCCGGCCAGTCAGACAATTGGAGCTGCTCTGTGCCGCTTCCCCAAGTCCGCTGCTGCTGCAACTGACCAGTGGCGGACTTGGGGAAAAGGCGCAGAGAAGAGCAGCTGGGGTGCTGCCCGGTTGGTCCCACAGTACTGCCCCTCACCCACCTGCTCTGTACCCCACACCCCCGCCGCCCCCCCCCCAGGCCCCTCACAGCCCCCCTTCTGGAGTACCTCCTGATACTCCAGCATATCTGATAATCCAGCACCCCCTGGTTCCCAAAGGTGCTGAATTATCGGAAGTTTACTGTAATTAAAAATTAAAATAAGCCAGAATATTTTTTTAAAATACCAATACTGGAAATTGGAAAATTAATATGACAACCCCCCGCCGCCCCCCCCCCAGGCCCCTCACAGCCCCCCTTCTGGAGTACCTCCTGATACTCCAGCATATCTGATAATCCAGCACCCCCTGGTTCCCAAAGGTGCTGAATTATCGGAAGTTTACTGTAATTAAAAATTAAAATAAGCCAGAATATTTTTTTAAAATACCAATACTGGAAATTGGAAAATTAATATGACAACCATAGATGTACTTATATCAGAGTTACAGTTAGAAAATTGTCGTCCTGGGGTTACATTTTTGTTTCATTGATTCAGTATGAAATGTTCTTGATTTACAAAACAAAAGATGATTTTTCTGACTGACAATACCAAAAAATTTGAAATTAGGTTTGAAAATCATCACAGGCTTTTTTTTACTATCTTTTTACATCACTGCATTCTTCATTAAAATTTCTAAATGCCAGCGTTGTTGCTGATGTGATCATTCAAAACAGAATCCAACTACTATAGTTATATTGATGTTACAGAGCTAACTTGTGGCAGTAAAGTAAGAAAGCATGAGTGAATGACTCACCAGAAGCAGATATGATGAATAGGAAGCTGTTATTTTTAATACAGCCATATTTCAGCATAACAGTACATTAAGTAGAAAGGCAAGATTAGCCTGAAAAAGGTTAAATTAAAGTGCTGGTATGATTTTTTTGTTCCATATAATTTTAACAATTTAGACTTTAAATAAGTAGGGCCAAATTTTACTCGCAGGTCTATCTCCTACTGAAGTCTTAAGTAAAATCAGAATGTTGCCTGAAGCAGTAAACTGAAAGGGAAAAAAAAGAGGCAGAATGGAACCTATATGCCAAATTCTGCACTCTGCTCATGTCTGTAACTTCCACTCAGTTGCGTACAACACTGGAAATAACTGTATATGAAACATCAGCTAACTTTATTTAATAGCTTTAAATGCATGTCAGGCTAAGGACATTAATGGTGGTGAGGAACAGAGCATTTTAGAATGATTAGGTGGGAACTAGATTTTAGGGTTCTGGAATTCTATTCCTCAATCTGCCATTGTCTCTCTCTGTTACTTGGGCAAACTGTTTAATTTCTTTCCATCTGCAAAATGGGCCTACTTACTGTACAGGAGAATTACATGTAGTAATTAATGTTTGTAAATGCTCTCAAATCATGAAAGATTATATGGGAAATGCTAAGTACTAAAGTTATTATTAAATAAGTCATCACAGAACAAAGTCCTACCCCTATCAATATATAAATGGGTTGATCAGATATTAAAGCCAAAAGACAATTTTTAATATGCCCTCCAGAGGATTTTGTCATGTTTCATGGACTCTAAGGCTATGTCTGCACAGCATAGTCCTTGTCTACACTACAAGAAGTTATTTCAACATAATGTCAAAATGATGTTGAGCTAGAGGTCTTCTTACTCCAACTCCTGTATCCCTCATTTTATGAGGAGTAAGGGAAGTCGAAGGAAGAATGCTCTTTCTCAGACTTCCTGCTGCATAGACAGCACCAAAAGCTGAAATAAGCTGTTTCAATTTAAGCTATGCAATAGAAGTAGCTCAAATTGCGTATCTTATTTCGGCTTTAGCCCTGATGTGGAGACATGCCCTAACAGCTTCTTCACTCTCTGTGGGTTTTTTTCCACCCTGGACAAAGGCACCCTGACTAGTTCTTCTTCTCTCATAGTAATCCCTATTTAAATAAATAGACAGCCCACAATGTTTTTATTTAACCATATTTCTCCCTCAAGGGGCAAGCAACATGAGTTGGGGCCTGAAACCAGGTGATATGAACCAGCTAGTGGATTTACTCTTGCACCTGATCCAACCCATAGTGAAGTCAACAGAAATCTTCCTATTAACTTCAGTGTTAATTGGGACTGCAAAGCTTGAGCCCAAACCCAATAAAGTAAATGGCAAAATTCCAGTTGATTTAAAAAATCTTGGGATGAGACCTATATTGTAGATTGCAACTAATGGAAAAGCCATTTATCTGCTAGCAGACAGGTGCTGTTCCCTTTAAAGTCAATTTTAGAACTCCCATTGACTCCAGTGGTGCAGGATGAGGCCCTGTTAGCTAAGCTAACCAATACCAAATAAGCTGCAAACTAATAATTCTATAAAATACATTAGGAATCAAGAGCTTTATGATAATAGCCAATTACGCAAATTCATTTTCTTTTATCTGTAGTTGCAGACACCAAGTTCTTTACACAGTGAGCTACCAGATTCTTTGTTCCTGCAGTCCTACTCTCAACAGCAAGGAAATATAGGATACCATCATACGCAACAGCAGCCTCTGCCACTTGCTTCAAGAAGAACCAGTAGCTTGTCAGAATCATCAGATCTACCACAGCCACTATGATAGAGTCCCACACCACCACAACTGATGCACGATTAGCTATAACAAATAGACCCATGGGGTAGGAGAAAAGAAATTACTTTGAACCCGCAATTTGACTTTTGCACATGCATTCATTTCAAAGCTCCATGGCAGTAGAAGACCAGAGTGTGGACTCCAGCAGACAGTGCAACAGAGAAGCTTTTGGATTCAGTTTGCACTGTTTCACGACAATATTATATATAATCAGGCTGAGTAAAATAAATACAAATGCTATCCTGTGCAAACTCCATCACTGATTGCTGTGCAGTAGGAAAACGTTCTTGTTGGTACATATTTTGGAGAACACTCTGTGTTTCCTTATGTCTGTGGATAAGACAAGTGAGGTACTTGGCCGACACTGTTTCAGTTCATATTTTATGTAAGAAAAGCACTGGGACAAAAATATATAGAGGAAAGAACAAATTATTTTTATTATGATTATTATTGTTGTTTTGCACAACTGCACATTCGATATAACCGAGGCACTTTCTATAAAGAGAAGTTTGTTTCACTATTCTGGTGGCCAGACTAATACATCATTATACAGAAACCCCAGTCATAGTTTAAAATGATGTACAATCCATACCCCTTGATATATAAACTGAATCCTGAAAGTATTCTGCAGTTTACTCTTTCTGCTCTTTTTGACTAAAAACAAAAAAACACTGGACTGTTTCCTGTTTATTCTGTGAATTGTGATTGCAAAGGAAAACTAAAAATATAAGCACAATCATGCAGCTATATTATTCCAGAATTTCAGTAGACTCATAATATAAAATGGGTCCTTTTGCAAAATGAACAGCCCACTTAACAGCTGTTCATAGCAACAAGTATCTGAAGAATATGCACTGTGTTTTGGCCCATTGACTGGGGATGCTGCAAATTATTCTCACATATCTTTTTCATGATAACATTTGAATTTTCCTTTAAAAATGCACTTTTCGCTTTTTTGTATATTTTATGTTTCTAAAAAAGATTTTATGTAACTATAAAATAAAAAGTAGTGTATTGTACAGCTGTTGTAATAATGACCTATTTCTATATAAAATAAAATTATATGGAATTATGTGGAAATTATTTTGTATATGAAATATCAACTCATTTGACAAATATAAAGACTTCTCTTCTGTTTTATTTATTTTTATGAGTGGATATTTAGTAATAAATTAATGAATAAGTAACATTTTTGTGAAGGGAGCTGCTGTCTCATACTAGATACATACTCAAATTATTTTTTCTTTCAATTTAATGCATATTTGTATTTGCTCTGGTACATAATAAAGTCGCAGAAAAGCTTTACTATAGAATTTACATACATTCTCCTTCCTATGGCTGTTTATGTAATTTAGTTTAGGCTTGAAATGCTCACTGCAACTTTACAAATTGCTTGATTTTGTTTACAAAAAATATTTCTCTTTTTGTTTCATCACAGGTAATTAGAGTAATACTGCTTTAGGGAGCCCCCAAAATAACATTAAAATATAACACTAAACTAGTTACCTATAGATAACTAGTTCCTCATCAGGAAATATAAGTTCACTTAAAATTCTCCAGATACTATGGCTCTGGCCTTAGTTTTAGCTAGAAAGAAGGGTGTGGACACCATCAAATATATAAGAGAACCACTGTTCTAACTTACAGTGGCTATAACTGAAGCTAAGGGACTGTTGCAGTAGCCAGGTATTACCAGAGTGCAAGGTGCTCTGGCATGCTCCCTTCCCACAGCTTCCTTCTTTGATTCCTGTCCATCATATCAACAGCAATGATGGGCCAATGAAGTCTTTCCACTTTCTGTATTGAACCAGGTTCATAGTTTAATTAATCTTTAATCAAGTGTTGTCCTATGTCCTATGTCCGTGTCAATCCAATGCATCCTTGGTCTTCCTCTGTGGTACATCACACTCTAGTATATAGCAGCATGTCTGTGATAGTGATACATACATGCCACCCTTTCTGGGTCCATTTCTGACAAGTGTCAAAACCAGAACACTTTAAAAAGCTGTCTTAAATCTTCTGTTAACAGTGTTATTTCTTGCACTAGTCATTTTTTTATTACTCTATTTTTTTTTTATTTACTGTAGTCTTTCTTGAGTATATGTCCTGGAACCAGGGTTCTCTCACACCCCTTGGCTAGAAGTAGTTAACAGGATTTACACTTTGGTTCAGTGGCTCTCAACACCCTCACTATACAAATTGTTCCAGCACCACTGGTCTTGACAATCTCAGTGTTTCTCTCAACCAGTTCATTTCTGCAGTAAAAAATCTTATATTTGTTTGCATCCTATAGCCAGGGGCAAAAAGCTGTAGTTTACAGGAGGAAACAGTAAACTTGCCATATTTGAATTTCAATTAGCTTTTCTAAAAGAGTATGATGCTCATTGGAATAGATTAGGGGTGGGGGCAATGTCCATCCTTTCTCAAATTCTAGCAGTCTCATTTCTTCTACACACCCCAGACCCATTTTGAATTGTAACAACATGCTATTCCACTGCTGTAGAGCAGTCACACCATACTGGTGTATTATTGAAGAGCAAGCACATTGCTCTGGATTATTGTTATAAGGCTATAATGCAGTATGGGGTTATTGTAGGCTGTATTGGGTTACTGTTGAAGGCTTAAACTGGGTTATTTCTGTAAGAATGCTACTCTGCAGTGGGCTGTTATTATTGGTGGGTCATTATGCTGCATGTTTTATTATTTTAGGGTTGTAGAGCTTAAGTTATTCAGCTCTCATGCTGTGCTATGTTAACTATAGGACAATTATGTTGGGTTTATTACAGTGGCTTGATTTATTGTATGCAGGTGGGCTAAGGTAAGTTATAGCCTACTCTATAGCATATGAGCTGTACTATTCTAGTGTTACAAGGCAGTGTTATTGTACCCTTGCTGGTCTCCACTGCAGCTCAGCTGCCCACTTCTCAATCCCTCCAATGGGAGGAGATCGGGGCCCACTGGATTATTATTGTAAGGTTGATGCACTGGAGTCTTATTACTGAGTGCTGTATTGGATTGTTATTGTAGGGTCGTTGGGATACTGCCTAGGGTTACTGTAGTGTTCCCAGTAAGCTGAGCACTTGGACAGCCATCCAGAAGAGATTCAAATGCATCCCCTGCTGATTTGCAGAGCACCCACAGCTGGCAACCTGTGTTCAGGCTGGTGGTGCATAGTTGCACATGCCTTGGTGCACAACACCGCATTTATTCTGCACATCATGGATAGAAAAGAATTAGAGGGACCCCTGCCGCAGGGAGGCAGCCCTGGGCTGTTGCTGCCGGGTCACTGGGGCCTCGCACCGGGCTGGCTGGGCTGTGGCACGGGCGCCGCCCCCACGAGCCCATTGAAAGGCCCCGGGCTCGCGGCCCCGACACCGCGGGCGGGAAAGTCATTGTCAGGTTGCCAGGCAACCCCCGCGCCTCGGCCTTCTGAGGCAGGC